CACGGGAGGAGCATGTGAATGATCTCAAAGTAGTTGGGACCACATCCACCAAACAAACCATTGGTAACACAATACACCGCCATGGATTGAGATCATGCAGCGCCCGCAAGGTCCTCCTCCTCCAGAAGGCACATGTACAGGCCCATCTAAAGCTTGCCAATGAACATCTCAATGATTCAGACAAGAATTGGGAGAAAGTGCTGTGGTCAGATCAGACCAAAATTGAGCTCTTTTGGCATTAACTCGACTCGACTTTGGAGGAAGAAAAATGCTGACTACGACCCTTAGAACACCATCCCTATAGTCGAGCACAAAGGTGGAAACATTATGCTTTGGGCCTGTTTCTCTGCTAAAGATACAGGCCGACTTTGCCGCATTGGGGGGCCAATGGACGGGGCCATGTATTGTAAAATCTTGGATGAGAACCTCCTTCCTCAGCCAGAACACTGAAGATGGGTCTTGGATGGGTCTTACAGCATGACAATGACCCAAAATATACTGCCATGGCAACAAAGCAGTGGCTCGAGAAGAAGCACATTAAGGTCATGGAGGGGTCTAGCCAGTCTCCAGACCTTAATCCTATAGAAAATGTATGAAGGGAGCTGAAACTTCGAGTTGCTAAGCGACAGCCAAGAAACCTTAAGGATTTAGAGAAGATCTGTAAAGAAGAGTGGACCAAAATCCCTCCTGAGATGTGTGCAAACATGGTAACCAACTACAAGAAACGTCTTACCTCTGTGCTTGCCAACAAGGGTTTCTCCACCAAGTACTAAGTCATGTTTTGCTTGGGGATCAAATACTTATTTCACTCAGTGAACTGCAACTCAATTTATAACATTTGTATCATGTGTTTTTTCTGGATTTTTGGTTGATATTCTGTCTCGATCACTTAAAATACACCTATGATAAAATTATAGAGCTTTCATTTCTTTGCAAGTGGGCAACCTTACAAAATCTGCAGGGGATCAAATCATTATTCTCCACACTGTATGTCATTTATCCACCCCTTGTCCAGTCACAGATTGCCTTGCATTCTGTGATCGGATTCATAGAATACAAGGTGTTCTGTGTTTTTTAATCTGCGTGCATTTTAATATATATTTAAAATAAATACACTTTTATAAAAACTTGTTGCATACTTTGAAATAATGGTGGGATCCCCCTCTGGGAAAAAAAATGTGTTTTTGTTCTGTGAATGGACAAGGGGAGAGGAGAGATGGATTCTGTGTATGAGAGCCGCAGTTCTCATAGTCACAACGCCAACAAGTCCAACACTGCCTGTACTTTCCGGCACGAATGAAACTATGATGTTTACGCTACACAACAATGACCTGAGTCACAAAAACAAAATATTGGTGGAGTTCTGCTTTACCCACTTGCTGTCTGCCCGTTTTACATACATGGGTAGATAACAGCCACAGCGGGGTGGGACATGGTTTTAAAACATATTTTTTTGGCTGTGGTTAGCAGGCAGCTTTCATTTTCCTCTCACACAGTAATCGGTGTTAGGCTGGGCACACACCTTACAACCATCGCAAGACTTTTGTCTTGCGATGGTTGTAAGGTACTTAAAAAAAACATACGATCTGCCCATCTTGGACAGGCACAGCCTACTTGTGATGATCGCAAGCCGCGCCCCCCTCAGGGGCGGGCTTCCGATGACCGCAATGCTGAACGGAGTTAAAGTCGTGCGACCTTACAGTAGTAGAGGTCGCATGGCTTCCACATACCTTACGATAATCGTACGATCGCGGGACTTCCCGCGATTATCGTAAGATGTGTGGGCACCCTTAGTGACTGCAGCCATCTGGTACTGGATCACTGGATGATTAATACAGGGGTGTGCAAGTTCAGCCCTCCAGCTGTGGTGGAACTACAAGTTCCATGAGGCATTGCAAGCCAGTTACAGGCATGACCACCAGAGTCAGAGGCATGGTGGGATTTGTAGTTAAAGCACAGCTGGAGGGCCGGAGTTGCCCACCCCTGTATTAATCATCCAGTGATGAGTACAGTAATCAGTACAAGTGTCATCCAGTACTAGTGTTCAATTACCCCTCTCCAGTATATGTCAGCTGTATCCTGTCTCTGATCTGTATATTAACCCCTCATCTCTCACATCTTCACATGTACCCCTTCATCTCCATCCTCGCACTGTATGTGACCACATTATCCCCTTCACCTCTGTCCCCCTCTGTATATGACCTGTACATTTAACGGTGGGCATTTATCAAAACTGGAGTAGACAGAATCTGGAGCAGTTGCCCATGGTAACCAATCAGCTTCAGTTTGTTCAGTTAAGCTTTGAAACAAAAGAGAAGCTGACTGATTGCCATGGACAACTTCTTCAGATTCTGTCTGCTCCAGTTTTGGAAAATCCCCCCGATGTATGTAGTAGACATGTACATTGGGATTCAGACCACCCTGCAAATCAACAAAATTCAGTTGATTCAGTGCTGCGTCCGAATCCGAAATAACAAATGTATTATTCTCCCGAATATACGAAAACTATATTCAGGCATACAAAAAATGTGTTTTCTGAAAACGCAGGCTCTTGGAGGCGGAGCAGATGACATCACATGACGGTTACCTCACATGCTGAATGAGCGGTTGCCATACATATATACCAAGATACACGCCAAGATTATTATTATTATTATACAGGATCTATATAGCGCCAACAGTTTGCGCAGAGCTTTACAAGATAAGGAAGACATTACAATCACAACACAATCAAGACAAGATGGTAAGGAGGGCCCTGCCCCTGAGAGCTTACCAGTTGCGGAGCTAAGGAACAAAGGGCCCTGGTGCAAGATTTTTTTTTGGGCCCCCCCTCCCAAAAAAACCACAAACACAGCGCTCTCCTCCCGCAGCGCTCGGCCGACTGTCACTTTCTCTCCTCCCCGCTGGGACACAGAGCAGCGCCCAGCGGGGAGGAAAGAAAGCAGGGATGCACCGCTGTATCAGCAGAAAAATGGCACTTTTGGCTGGCGCAGAGATGGGGGGCCCGCTGGCCGCTGGGTACCGATCCGGCACTGGGCCCCCTAGAGCCCCAAGGCCCTGGTGCGTCCGCACCGCCTGCACCGGCGGTAGTTCCGCCACTGGAGCTTACAATCTAAAGGGGAGGGGCCAGTGATACATGAGGAGGTAGCTGTGTGGCAATGAATTGTTTGAGAAAGTGATAGTTCAGTGGTCAGGTTGAGGTGGGATAGGCTTCCCTGAAGAGATGAGTCTTAAGGGATTGCCTAAAATTGAAGTGCCGCTCGCACTGCAGTTTCAGTGTGCGGTTTTGGATTTGGAGGCTCGCTGCTTCCGAATCCGAAACAACATAAAAATTTGTTTCCTTTGACGAAACTAATGACATTTTTTTTCATTTTCATTTGTTTAATCCGTAAACTAATTTTTTTGCCGTGCATGTGTCCAGTATGTAGTACACCATTACCCAAGCCCCATGTTTTAACCCCTTCAATAACAGCATGTTTCATAATTTCCAATAAATGGTGGCAAAAAATAACATCACCTTCGGGTATCTACTTTCCAAAAATTGGTCCTGGTATTTTTATTTGCTATGTGTTCTACCAGAAACAAAAAAGCGCACTTCTTTGTTTCCCTTTATAGTAAAAAAGAAAAGAAAGCTATGTTTAAAAAAAATGTGCACTTCATTTGGCTACAGTGTGTAAAGACGAACTCAAGGGTGCATTCAAATTAACCCTTGCAGTGGGGCTACCCTTGCACTCCAATGGTTAACAGCTTGTTTTGGGCTAGGGGCGAAAATAAGATACTCACCTGATCCTTGATCCTGCTGCAGCGACCACTCTCCTCTCTCCTCGCCCCCTGCTCTGGGGATGCAATGTCCCTCAGCGTCCTCATGTCTAATAGACCTGCATTAGAGGTGATTACATCACTTTTCCTTCCTTTCCATTGCAGAGAGGGGTGGTGGGCAGAGTAAAGGATGCAGGGATCGGTCTAGCAGCCAAGCATGACTGAGGATCAGGTGAGTAAATCTGTTTATTATCGCGCCAACACCAAAAGGAGCACTTAACCCTTACAGTGCGAGAATAGCCCCACTGCAAGAGTTAATTTTAATAAACCCTGGCGCAGGGGCATCCCGCGGTCGGGTGTCACCAGGTCTCTAGGCTGGGTGACACCCCGCCGTGTCATCATCGCGCATGCGCGACCATCTGATTGGTGCCTGCTGGCGGCCATCTCGGTGATGGACGCCGGCAGAGAGAGGAGGGGACGTTCACCCGGCAAAATGAGGTATGCTGCCGGTTCCCCTTCTGACCTCATCCATGACCGAGTGCCCGACTTTTAGAGAGGGGTGACACCAAAATGACTGTCAGTCATTTTGGTGTCACCCCTGCAATGGTGACACCCGGGTGCGGGCCGCACCCCCCTTTGTGACGCCACTGCCGTGGCATTCCTGTTTAATGTCAGTCAAACCAGCAATCACTTAGAACAGTAAGGGGGCATAACTTTCTGTCTTCAAATGGTTAAACACATGAGTCACCTGCATTAAATGTTTTGGTCAGATTTACTGTTTCACTGCTTCATACATATACTCTTAATTTTGCACACAAATCGGTGTAAAAAAAATAATGTGTAAGCTTTTATCTATTCTTTATATACACACGCACAATGGTATTGCATTATTCCCGGTTGCATCTAAACATGTGCAACCCTGTAGCAAAAATGTTCTTTCACAAAATGTAATATGTGTAAATTTATCGATCACTGCGCAAAGGTTACGTGGCCTGATTGGTGGTAGGATCTGCCTTTTATCTAAACGCACCAATCATCGTACAAAGCACTGAAAGCAATGTGTTTTCGGTTGGGACGGGGCGTCCTCACAGAGGAGGAGCAAGGCGGGAAAGCGGCCCAATCACCGTCGTGAGGTCTGTGGGAAGCCTCATTTCCTTTTCCTGTTACCAGGCTCGCTGGCCTATAGCATATTCAGCTCAGCGACCCCTGTTTTTTCATTGGACCGGCGGTTCAGAAGGCGTAAACGTTAGCTTGGTATAGAAGTAGAGGACAGAGCCACCTCGTTTCCCTCTCTTCTTCACTCGCCGCCATTTTGGTGTGACGAACATTCTTTTCCTTTCGTGAAGTCTCTGTTCTCGAAGCGTAAAATGTCCCGGGATAGGTACAGAAATCGCGGCGGCATGGGCGGCGGCGGAGGAGGAATGGGAATGAACATGAACATGTACCGTCGAGGTAACGGTGGACGAGGAATGGGAGGAGGAGGGATGTCTAACTATCACCGTGGCCCTGGGTACGTAGACTCCAACCGCAGCTCTTCTGGGTATCAGCCGCACAAGCCGCCTCAACAGCAGACGCCACAGCAGCAGAAGCCGAACCAGAACCAGCAGCAGAGTCAGGCGAAGCCTACGCCTCAGCAGCAACCACCACAGCAACCGGCACCTGCTCCGGAACAAAAGCCTGCTCCGGAACAAAAGCCAGTAGTCCAAGAGCCCGCCAAGCCCACCCAGACCCCGGCCGCCAAACCTGCCCCCCAGACCCCCGCCGCCAAACCTGCTCCTCAGACCTCAACCTCTACCACTCCGCAGACTAAACCAGCTCAGTCTCCTCAGCAGAAGCCAGTGGTCACCCCACAACAGCCACCCCAGCAGCAGGCCAGTAACCCGAAACCCGCTAACCAGAACCAGGCCCCGAAACCCCTGCCCAAAATCACGTCTCCTGTTAGCCAGCCCCCGCCTCAGCAGCCGCCACAGCAACAACCACATCAGCATCAACAGCATTATCAGCCATCACAGCAACATCAACTATCACAACAGCGGCGTTCCGGGCCCGGCATCCAGGTCGGCCAGAAGAGACCTCATCAGTCCCGCTTCCATTCTCATCCCCCGCCACAGGCCGAGGATGTCTCTATGGGGAATGCCCACGAAGAGAACTTCAGCGACGTAAGTGCACAGTGCCTTCCTATGAGATATTTAAGTACGGTGGTCATGTTAGCCATGCTTTATTAATCTTGGTTCGGTTAAAATGTCGATCGAAGCAACGGCTAAAAGTACGTTGTGATCCACCCAAAATCCGATCGATCGGTTGTAGACACATAGAATATGCAGATCTGTGTGTGTTAGTACGTAACGACCTTCTATTCCACCATGTCTCATATTGTATCAATTTCCTGATTGCAGTCATTTAAAGGTTTTTAGGCTATGCACTTGGGTGTATGTTCATTTAATTTGTTTTTTTCCCCACTCTCTTTTGCATTAACTTATTCGGCTACGTGTGGAGAAATTGAACGATCTTTTTTTGATGATTCTATGCTAAGGGAATGTTTCCTCTCCCTGCTTCTGTTTTTGTCCAGTTTGCTAGTTACTGCCAAAGGGAATTTCTTAAATCTGGGCTAATGTACCTGGCTGAGCTGTATTCTAGGCTCCTGAAGCTGGATTGTACAATTAGGATGTGGTGTGATGGTGGTTTTGCATGTGGTCAATTGTGACAACGGATGTAAACAGGCAAATTGTCAGAAATTAGAGGTAACAATAAATCATGTGGCTGAAGTGAACGATCTGCAAATTGTATCCTATGCCTAGGCACTCAGTGTAAAGTCCTGTGCTGCGACTGGCATGGTATATTTAACAAAAGCAGAGATTCATTCTAGCTTTCATCTTGTGATTGCATAAGGTGTTTAAAATGGCTGCCGGGGCTCTGCTGAAGCAGGCTGTCAGTGTGATTGCTGCAGTTACTTGAATGATGTTTGGTTGCCCTAAACGGCTACATTAACCGTATGTTATAATCTGTAAGTGTCCTGCACGGTTGTAATGGATTTGTTGTTAACAGGGTGTCAAAGCAACATTGTCACTTTTGAAGCGGCCTGGAGAGAAGACTTATACCCAACGCTGCAGGCTGTTTGTCGGAAACCTTCCCACTGACATCACTGACGATGAATTTAAGAAACTATTTTCGAAGTATGGGGAACCTGGTGAAGTTTTTATCAACAAAAGCAAAGGTTTTGGCTTTATTAAGCTGGTAAGTTTGGGGTTTTAATAAAAATAGGAATGCATCCCATGTATACTTTTTTTTTTTTTTTTTTTAGCAGGTCAGAATTGTAAACCTATGTATCTGCTATTTGTAACATAGTATTTAGACACATTTTATGTTTGCCTTGCCATTTGGTGCACAGGAGTACCGCATCACATTAAAATCTGAGGCCATTTTGTTTCCCAGCCACTGTCCTATAAGACCAATATTAGCTATGAAAAAGGCTGTCTACAAACATGACAAGCATGTGAACATTACTTGAATCTGTCTAAAGCTGAACTCTGAGCATTCAAACATCATACATGCAAGAGTTTAGTTTTTCTAAACACCCCTCCCCCCCACGTTTTAAAGCTTAAAGGACTGCATGTGGGTGTTAACCATTGCACTAGTGCTACCCACTGCATGTGTTAACTCTTAACTTTTCCTCTACCGGCCAGAATAAAGAAGATATACTTGCCTGATTCTTTCTGCTTTGGTGGTCTTGGCTCATCTCTCCCCTTCTGCTCTGGCTGTAGTATGTCCTTTAGCATCAGTCTAATCCATGTGAATGGACTGTATTGGATGTGATGTCAGCGGGGCTTAAACTGCCAGGGGCTGTGGGGGCCTTATCTATCAGCCAGACAGACACTAAAGAGTACTTCTTCTTTGAGCCTTAAAGAAAATAAGGAATGCAGCCACTCATCAAATAACTGGCAAGATGCAATTTATAATGCATTTTTATTCTTGGGTTTGGTTACTTATACTTGGTCTCACCAGTTTCATAATGTTGTATGCTTATGACTTAGAAACCTTGCTATTTGCTGATCATTTACATTTTTTTCAGGAAACAAGGGCACTGGCTGAAATTGCCAAAGCAGAGCTTGATGATTTTCCCATGAGAGGCAGGCAGCTCCGTGTACGTTTTGCCACTCACTCTGCAGCCCTTTCCGTACGCAACCTTTCTTCATTTGTATCGAATGAGCTATTGGAGGAAGCGTTCAGTCAATTTGGTCCAGTTGAAAGAGCTGTGGTTATTGTAGATGACCGTGGAAGATCCACAGGAAAAGGAATAATTGAGTTTGCTGCAAAGCCCGCTGCTAGAAAGGCATATGAAAGGTGTAATGATGGAGTCTTCCTGTTGACAACGTAAGTTTCTTTACTGTGCATTACAGAATATTACAGCTGAACTAGAGCAGATGCATAACTGGAATAACAGCTTTGTATTTTTTGTTCAAAAATCATGTGTTCTTGTACACGCCTAACAAACGTGCCTGACTCTTAGTGTAGTGCTCTCCACAGCAACCCTGGGAGAGATGAGATTGATCGGGGCTCTATTGCTTTGCACAGTGCTGTCTGGCCAGTACTAGACATGCTTGATGGAGAGTAGAGGGATGACCTCATCAGTGTGCCCCTGCACAAGGAAACTCAATGCCTGTGATTGTTGCTAAGTGGCAGTATAGTGTAAAGGGATGTCAGGTCCTGATCCTATTATCTGGCATGGGAGAATCAATCAAGTGTGTCAAGGAGACCAATATTTCTGGAATAGATGCATATTTCCCAATGTTTTACCCCTTTACAAAACACTGCTAGTACAGAAAAAGTTCTTGCCTGCTAGAAATCCAGTGTGTTTCTAACTTCTAACTTGAGGAGAGGACACAATGCCTTTTGCACTGAAATCCCAAGCGCTAACAGAACACCACCTCATCTCCATTAGGTAAAGGGGAGGTATTCTGTAACCCAACAGTAAAAGCTCAGGCATGCTTGATGTTTGGGCTTTTTAATGCATAAGAGTTGTCTGCTCAAACAGGAGCTTGCCAGATTTCCTTCAAGATCAACAGATATATTTCTGTACTTGCAGTGTTGTAAAGATGACAAGGCCAGATATGAAATGTGCTTGGTGCAGAGATGTACTACACAATGGAGGGAATTTATCAAAACTAGAGCAGACAAAATCCAGAGCAGTTGACCATGGCAACCGATCCGCTTCTGCCTTCAGTTTAATTAAGCTTTGGAAATGAGAAGCTGCTCCAGATTATGTCTGCTGCAGTGTGTGTGATGGCTGGAAATTAAACACGCTACATTTAACCGCAATGTGATTCAATGCACTCAAAGGAAAGCTCCTACTCGTAGAACAAATTAAAATTAGGCAACACTATGCATTTCAAGAATGCCAACACTCAGTAAATGCAACAGAAGTGTAAATCCACCTTGCATTTAGAGCCAAAGCCTGTTGCAATATTGACATACTGCAGGCAAAATGGTCTTGCTGTGGTCTGCCTGCACATTTGGGTCTTGGTAGACTTTAATAGGATCATCTAAACTGTCTCCAGCTTTTGGAGACCATCCCATAGAAGTCTGAGAATGGACTGTGGTTTAGAACTAGACTGTTTTGTTTTTTGCATTAGCTGCACTTATCACTTTGTTCTTTAACTGCTTTATTTACTCACAAGATATTTTAATTGTACTTTACCAGGACCCCAATGCCGGTTATCGTGGAGCCTCTGGAACAATTTGATGATGAAGATGGCCTTCCGGAGAAACTTGCCCAGAAGAATCATTTGTATCAAAAGTACGTTTTGCGTGACACATTATCTGTAGTTCAACTGTTGTGGTGTGAGATAAATGGTTAGACTTGTGGTTGTATAAAATCATATGCAGGCAACGGTCTCTTGATCTGGTTGTAATTAATGTAACTAAACTTCCCATTTTTTTTTTTCTGCCTCCTGAAAGGAAGCTCAAGTTAGAAATGTTTAATGTTTGCCTCAACTGTCCTTTCATGTTCTGGTTTACAGTGGTGAACATGCATGGTTCACCAGTGTTGACAAGTGTTTTATTTTTGTGGGGGGGGTTCTTTACTCATTTTAATACATGTAATTTTTGATACTGGTATGTTACAAGTAAACTAAAGCCCTGTCACAGTGCAACCTTAAATAATTTAAACTGAACAAAGTGTGTCCAATGTCTATCTTATTGCATGTCTAAATTATTGGGGAGCTTTGAAGAATGTAGCAACTAGTTTCGAAATGGTTGGTTTTTACCTTAATAGGCATACATAATATCTACTGTTTTAATCCAACAGAGAGAGAGAGGTTCCTCCACGGTTTGCCCAGCATGGAAGTTTTGAGTTTGAATATTCTCAGAGATGGAAGTCTTTGGATGAGATGGAGAAACAACAAAGGCAACAAGTGGAGAAAAATATGAAAGAAGCTAAAGAGAAACTAGAAAGTGAAATGGAAGATGCTTTCCATGAACATCAAGCCAACCTGCTGCGGCAAGGTCAGTCCTCCCTCTGAAAAAATGCTTAGTTTTATTGCTGCATACGGTTTATTTTTGTAAAGCGCACAGCAAGAGCCTTCCTAATTTGTTATTGTAAGTGATACATTTTGAAGGTACCTGATGCTGTTGGCATTAAGTGGGGAATAAATGCACCTCTATCCTAAATCTACTGATCATGTGATTTCAGTATAAAGGAGTACCCGTGTCTACATAAGGTTAGAAACTTGGTAAATTTCTGCTGTTACCTGACGTGCTATAGAACAGGTTAATGGGTATCCTGGAGTCTTTATGTGTTTGGATGTGGCCATAAGTTGGCAGAAATGATTATTTTTGAGTATGGCTTTCAATGTTGGGGCCCATTCACAATTGTGACATTAGCATGCTTTGCAAAGCACTTTGCGTTGTACCTGAACACGCGCACCTGGCAAAATTGGGTGTGGATAGGTTGCCTTAATTAAAATTTGTGCAGCCAGAGGTTGTGCGAAACATTCTGGTCATGTGAATTTTAAGTATTTAATCTTTTTTGCCAAGTTTAGTGGATGATTTTTGAAGATGTGGTGTTCTAGAACTGATTATGCCATAGTGTTCACTCAAATACATATGTACACAAGACAAGCACTTCAAGTGGTAGCCAAAATAAAATGCATGTTCATTAAGGGAATTTTTTATAACCTTTTAAGATTATAAGCTGATATTTAAATCTTCATCGTAGATTTGATGAGGCGTCAGGAGGAGCTAAGACGCATGGAGGAAATACACAACCAAGAAATGCAGAAGCGCAAGGAAATTCAGTTGAGGTGAGCCAAGCTTTTTACTGTAGCTTTTAATAGTTATTCTGGGGACTTGTCTGTATTGAAGACTAACCTTTTTGCTTTTGTAAATAGACAAGAAGAGGAACGCCGCAGACGTGAAGAAGAAATGATGCTGCGACAGCGTGAAATGGAAGAGCAGATGAGACGTCAGCGGGAAGAGGGGTACCGTATGAGTTATATGGATCCGGTAAGTCAGTCCAATGTTAGATGCTTGAGATTACGGAACCCCTGTAGAATTGGTTGTGACAACTGTTTTTCCTTTTTTTAGAGAGAGCGGGATATGCGAATGGGAACTAACTCGTTGTCCATGGCAGGTAATGCAGATCTTTAAAGTTACACACAGCCCTCAGCTTTTTTTTTTCTCCTTTATTCACATCTACACTGAGCATTCTCCAAAGCCACATTTGTTTTAAAATAGTCTTACAACCCTTTTAAAAAGTCTGCTGTGCTTGCTCCCATTGCTCTTTTCTCCCCTCACATTTCCTGTCCCTTAGTAAGAGCCGTTTACGTTGATTGTGGTCATGTGCGCATCTTGGCCTACAACTCCCATTAGGTAGACAGGTATCATCTCACTGCACACAGCTGCCTCCTCTTCCTCCCTCTCCTCACTAAACACACTGTGGTTTTCTTTCATTGTTTTCTCCTGCGATGCTCTGAATTATAAACTCTTAACAAATTTACAACAATCTACACACACAACTGTATTTTAAATGTAGGAGCCATATCCTCTTGACCTGTGAGACCAGATTTAGCATGTGAGCTGAGACTCGAGAAAAAGTATAAGGCTGATGGTGGCTCACATTCTGAATTTCCTCACAAGCAGTTCGCCCAACACTCCCTCCTTGGTAAGCCAGGAGGAGAGAATTCAAAGATCATGTTAGTATGGGAGAGTTGAAGTCCCAGCTCCTTGCAGAGACTGAAGAGGCAGAATCAAAAGACACACCCTTGGCATGTTTGTTCTTCACATCAATCAGCACAGAGGGTGGCTACTTTTCGGCACACATGGGGGCCTTGGAGAAGAAAAGTAGCCACCCGCTGGCAGGAAGTTGTGATTTAAGAAAAATTGATTGTTCAGCTCTAAATGCTCCCAAATGACAAAAAAAGGTAGTCTATTTATTATGACTTTGAGTTTAGTGTCTTTAATATTTGAACATGTTTTCAAACCCTCTTCTAATTATCTTTTGTTTTAAAGATGCATATGGTGCTGCAGCCCCAAAATATCCAACACTTGGGTCAACTGGCATGGGCTATGAGGGCAGTCCAGGTGTGACACAGGCAGCAATTGCCTCATCTCTAATGGCTAATGACATGGTAATGTATCTTACTGACACTTCAAAAGTAGTGTCATTGACTGTGTGACCAGTATTGCTACTTTATTGGGTTCTGGTAGTGTTGAAATGCTGCAGATTGTGTAGCATTTCTCCAGACGGAGTTTGAAAGACTTAACAGGCTTGGGCAAGGGGCTTGTATGTGAGGCTTTGGTGGCTAGAGGGTTGTAAAGTACATAATTGTCTGATCTAGCAGCTAGTCCTACAAAATGGGTGGTGACCTGGTTTTAATGCTATGTGGCAGGAATTGCCTCATGCAGTTGTAAAACTGACCTCAAATGATTCAACATGTTGCAGTCCCTTTTAGAAGTGGCTAATGTGTAAATTGAGTCTGTAGGTTACTGTAATCCTAGCAAACTGGGTTCACCTATGTACTGAAAACCCTAAACCAGATCTGCTTGAAAAGAACAGACTTGGTGCATGGTACCATGCCTTTTTTGGAGTGAATATAATCCCGTTGGCATTTAAATATATTGGAGTGCTAAAATCAAATTAATTCACCACTTGCTTGCAGAAATTTACAAAGTGGCATTGCTACTTCAATATCCCTATTATGTCAAAGTAAAACGTTTGTTTTTTTTGAACTTGCAGTTTTAATTTTTGAGGCATTAAGCGTTGCATTTTATCTTTTTATTGCAGTATTAAAAGTACACACTGGCATTTCCATAGCTAAATAAGTAATTCTTTGCTGTTTACTTCTACAAACCCTGCAATAAAATATAGGTAGTTGAAAAGTAAATTTGGACAGGCTGTCAAGGTATGTCATTAAAGCTGAACTCCAGGCTCCTTTAAAACGCAGCTTGTATGCATAGTGCAGTGATGTTGGCATGAGTTGAATTACATTCAAAGTGTAGGTAGTGGTTTAAGGCTTGATTTGCACCGAATGTGTTTGGCCTGTGCTGGGTTTTTTATTTTTTTTCTCGCCGCCCCATTGCAAGACAAGGCAATTTTGCCTTGTTACATATGGGCACAGTTAACACCACCACAACAGCATGGTGTGCACTGAAAAATGATTGCATTGGCCCCTATTGAAGTGCGGCAGCTTCAGAATTGAAAAATACCTTTCTGGGAATATTGTCATTGGTTTACTGAACTCTCATAAGTTACATGTTATGTAACTTTAAAAGTGATAATTTTCTTTTAGTAAAGGAATACCTGGTGATCCTGCAATGAAGGACCTTGTTCAAGTCCACCTTTGTGAGTGACAAACTGTCATGTGCTCTTGTGTTGTATAGTCACATGCTCTGGGTGGAGACTAGAAGTGGCTGTGCAGACATTTGCTGCCAAGTTGCAGGTCCCGAGCAGTGGGGTGTGTGTGTGTGAAGACAAGCGGCAGCATTGAGATACAAAAAGCAGTTTTAGTTAGCAAATGGTCGTTCTAGGGTTTAGATCTGCTTGAGCAAGCAGACCAGCTTGCGATGTTTCCTGCAGTTCTCCGGTATAGTTTCCAAACCACCTAGTAAGTGTGTGCATTGTTCATTTGGCTTGTTTTGATTACAACTGCGAACACTGCCAAGGCTCTGTCCTGAGGTTTTAATAGGCAAGAGCCAGGGTATTAAAGAGCACTTGGCTCTTCACACCAGAAGACGAGGATGTCCTGCCAAGAGGAGTTGCTTTACCATGCAGATAAGTAGTGGGAGGGATTTATGGGACACATTGTAATCAATCTGGTCTATCTTCTGAGTTGAAAATGTGGGCAGTTCATGCAAGGTAGTTTCAGCATTGTTTTTGGCTGCCAGAGAGTTGATCAAGTCACATCTTTCACCATTACATGGTATTTTCCCTTTGGTAGACTCATTTTTGCCTGAACTTCAGCTTTAAGGTTAGACCTGAGATGCCGTTAAGAAAATAGTTTGCATCTTTTATGTAACTTAACTGAGGTCTACTTTAATGGTAATGGGGCTTGTGTTGCCTCTAAAGCTACTTTTTTTTTTTGATGGGTGGTTATATAGGCTCCGACTAATTTTCATTGATTGGCAGATTTTATTTTCTCAATCGGATAAAAAAAACACCTTAATTTAAAGTAAAATACACAAATGCAGTGTTGACTTCAGAATAAAACTGCATGCACAATTTTTTTTGTTTGCAATTGCACCACACTGGAACACATGACATTGTGGTACCATGTATTCCAGTGTGGGAGATTACACTGGGTGGGAGGCACATTTTGGGTACAATTGACATGAATGGCATATACACAAATGCAGTGGTCACAACGTTGGTGGGAGGCGCGTTTGGGGTGACATTGAAATGAAACCGAAAATTACTTTTTCCCACTTTTTAGAATGTTTTTTTTAAAAAAAGAATTGTATTGTAAGCACATGGTGCTTGAATAGGTTCAGCCAGGGAATGACAGCTGCCAGTGGCAAGATTCTGCAGAGGCAGTTCAATGTAAATGGCAGGCTGGCTATTGCACCTGCCCTCTGCTTGCTGTGCCCTCCTCCCAGCATGGAGGAGAGGGCTAGGGGATCCAACTAATTGGTTGCACCCCTAGCTGTATTTCTCACCTCACTATTATAAATTTACAGAACATGATCTGTTATTTCTGCAGACTGGGTTTACTGGTTCTTTACTGTACAGGTGAACAAGTATTTTTTGAAGTGTGCAGATCCAATAGTTGTGGTGAACAAAGTTCTGAGACTTCTATAAATGCCATTCAGTGGAAGGAAATATTCCAGTTGGCATGACATCTTATTGTCGCTTTGCTTCCTGCATTACAGCCAATATTAGGCTGTCTTTCTACCTTGGAACAGGTATAGTTCTCATTACCGTCTGCCCCCTGCCAAAAAAAAAAAAAAAGTTGTGGCTTCCATTAACTTGAACTTGGCCTTTGTGATTTATGAAACATATAACTTGCTAATATTGCTTAACACAATCTGTTGTGCGGAGCTCAACAACACTGTACAGTTTACCAAATATTTGTATGTCAACTCAGCTTGATTCCTTAATCAGAAGGCTTGAACCTGAAAGCATTAGGAATCTCAAAAAAAACTCTGAATTACTCTAAATTTAACCATGCTTTCTCAGTGCCCCCCATTAAACTTTCTTAATGAAAGCCTAAAATTTAATTTTGCAGGTTGCTGTTACAGAAGGTGACATTCTGCTTTATCGCCTTTTTAGTGAAAAATCGAAATGTAGTTGCTTTTCATGTTGCTGGATCTTACGTGATCCCTCTTGGGCCCAACATTATCTTGTGTACCCTCTTGCAAATAGTCATATGAGCAGACTATTTGTGAGAAAAGCAGCATATGCATTGGTCTGAACAGTGTCTCTACTATAGTATCTGTAAGGAACACTGTCAGTACTAAGGATAGGCTTCCTAAAAGTTGCAAGCTGGTGTTTTTTAAACATGGTGCTCCTAGTAATTAAACCATTATTTTCCCAAGGCTTGAATAATTTTAGGTGCCTATCCTTTTTAGAGTTGGTCATGGGTGATACTTTATTCCATGTGTTGGTACTCCTGAGTGAAATGTATTTAGTGGCTCCAAATGACGGATAATCATTCAGCGTTCATTTTGAATGCCCAGGGCCATATGTTTCTTAGCTTGGCTTTACATTTTTCAGGGCCATATGTTTCTAGATATCTTTTCAGTACGAGTACACTCGTAGGGCCATGATCTTGACTACTAGTCTCCCTCTGTTTTGTAGGGTCATAATGCATACTTGAGTTTGGTGATGAAACCTACACTATTAGGCCTGTGTAAGTGAGCACTTCTCAATACTTCAGCTCAGGTTTAAGTAAAACGCAAGTTGATAACTGTTCAGATTCCTTATGATGTAAGCAATTCATGTACTTGAAGTTGCATCTTGGTACGTTTTTTTTAACCTGTGCTTTCTTGAGCACCACGGGGTGTCCGTTTTTGAAATGGTCATCCAACTCAATTGTGGGAGCGTATCTCATGACATGTGATACTTTAACTAATTTGCAAATTACCCTTTTTTCCTTTCTATGTTCCTGGTACCTGTGGATCGGCTCATGATGATTGTATCGACGAACCTTCACTGCGGAACCTTCTAAAAACACACATACACACACGGACAACTGCTTTAATGAACTGATATTAACAGCGTAATGATCGCTTTGTTCAGGGCACTGCAGGGGCCCCCAATGCTCAGGCTTCCAGAGGGATTGGGTCAGTTCCCGCTACAGCAGGCGCTGGAGGCTATGGGAGGGGGAGAGAGGAATATGAAGGGGCACCGAAGAAACCAAGGTTCTAGATGGCCTCCTATATCAGCCTGACTTTTTTTTGTTAACACACTTTTATCTTCTATTTTATTGAAGTAACATTTTTATGAATGCTCAATTGCTTGACCCAGTATCTGTGAAGCTGGATGTGATGTATGTAGGTCTGAGTTATTATTTTTTTTTTTTTTATGGCAGTGTATGTTCATTCCCATTAGCGCCCCCAACTTTTATTTTTTAATTTTACACATGCTTTAATTAGACTGGATGCTACTCAAATCTTGGTCTTTGCTGTTTAGAATTTCACCAGTTAAATTGATATTGGTCATCATGAACTGCAATATTCCTAGAAAGAGTTTATTGGCAAGACCATTGCATGACTTGCCATCATGCCATCCAGTGTCAGACTGTAAATAGATGGGCAGCTTTACCCCAACATACAGCCGTAACTCAAACTTGACCCTCTTGTTTTAAGACGGCAGTCTAACTCTTAGTAATGCTCTAATTTTGTGAATTGCCTCCCTGTGGTTCTGGGATGGATCTGATGATGCTAATTTATGTATTTGAGTATTGTGGTGAGCAGAAACTCGTTGAAACTTGTCCTTGTAATACATTGTATTAAAATACTTCTGAATAAAAATGTGGAAGAGTTATTGTGTTGGGGTGGGTGGGTCAGATGTCCAGTGCTGCACAGTCTAGGACTAGAAAACCCAATATTTTTTGGCTGGGTATAATATGACTTGCTGCATAAGGAAAGCTGTTTAATGTGCATTCTGTGCATCTACAGAACAACTGTTCTTCTGGAAGTCACTGCAAATTCTGTTGGTAGGGATTCCTCTTCCCGTTGACTGAATGGTAGCTGGATACCTAGTATCTGAATGCCATCTAAGATACATGGCCTGCCTAAAGCTTTAGATCCTGTGCATGTTGCAAGGTTGAGAATAGATATACTTCACCTGGCTATTCTTCCAAAAGGGATGCTCACATGAGGTTTTTACAGTGGTGGTTTTTTCCCCCCTTCTCCAATTTAAAAGTGATCATCATATCATACCAAGATAACCTAACAGTATGTTCTAGTCACTTTGGTTTTCCAGGTTAAACAGCTTTTCTGCTGCAGTAAGTGATCATGGCTTCTACAGGTATGCCTAAGTTAAGTATTATACACAACTGTGGTTTTTCTAGGCTTTTTTTTTTTTTCCCCCACCTGACTTTCACTTCTAGTACGGTTTACAACCGAAAACTTTGTTTGCTTAGTTTTTTTTATGCCCTAACAGAAGTTTTAAACAGAGTACCATTCAAAAGTTGCCGTTCACTTCTGTGCATGTTGAAACACTCAATCATTGTATTTGGCTAGGTCTGCAAAAGTAAATTAACAGCTAATGTGTGAGTGCAGTCAACCTTGCTTGTGTACTCCCATTTTCCAATTGTTTTTATTTTTTTTTTATTTGCACATTTGTTAGAGTGCATTATTTGTTATGAAATGCTGTCATGTCACTGGGCTTGATTTACAAAGAATGAGCAGGGTCTTCTCTGTAATGTTTTTTTTTTTTGTGTGGTTTCATTTTGCAGGTTTGATTATTGCTGTAAGTCATTCATAATTTTTAGAGCATTCTATTGCGGATTGCAAGCAAATCTTTGAGTTGTGCCTATGCACCTACCTATGCACGCTTAAACTGCATAGTTTGTGAACAATGAATGTACTTTGCTTAATTTTGTAAATCATCTCCACTGACCTTAAATAGAATACCATAATCTGGTGAAATAAGTGGGGATAGGCCATTGATGATGGGTTTATACTAAAAGTTCACAAATATGTTTCGGAGTACACCTATAAAATGACTGCAAGCTCAATTGAGGCATACTTGCATTGACCCATTGGGACTATTGTACCCACTCAACCCAATGTTTAAAGCCGAACACCAGGCAAATTTCTAAATCTGCAGTACATTAGACCTGTAACTGTATTCTCCTCCTGTAGGCATGATCGGTGTTGGGCTAAATGCTCTGACATGGTGGTCCTCCCTTTTGGGGTGTGAATCCTTTTGTGCTCAGGCTTAAAGGAAGTGAATATAAAGCCAGATGTCAAAAGCAGATGTTTTTTTCTTTGTTTTTTCTTTTCTTTCTGCTTGCAGTCTTAAATGCACAACTGGACTGAATTTAATATCAGATCTGTCTGGATTTCCGCTTTAAAATACTATATTTACCTTTTGTAAAGGCCTACAGATAGGCCAGTTGGTATAAATTTGTTTATATAAAGATATTTTCAGAGTAAGAAGGTAAATATGCAATCTATAATGTGTTTATGCAGCTGCTAGGAACAACGTCCTTAGAGTGAACACTTTTTGGTGTAATGTTAGACTGTTTGAAAACAAATGTTACTTTTCAAGCTTGTCATGCCATCGGAGTTTAAGACCGCAACCACTGCTCCAATTCTAGTAGTTTTTTAAATTTTTTCTGTGCCAGTAGACGACATGATCACAAACCAACCTTTAATAGGAAAATCTTCCATTTTTCTAAGCTGGTTTGTGTAACTGGATGGCTCTGTGGCACTGTCAATCACTTCAATATTGGATTACAATCAGTGGTTGTACTTCCTTTTTTTGTTTTCTACTTCCTTGCCATGTTGCTAGCCCTTGTTTAGGGGTTCCAGCAGGATGAACAAATGCTGAGATTGCATTAATGGCAGGTCCTTAAGTCAGCAATTGCAACTGACTTTGCACAGAATTAGATTATTTCAGTTAGTTTCTAAACTGTCATGGAGTATCTGAAAGCCATGATATTCAATCCTGGCAATGTGATAACCAAAGATCATGTGCAGATGGGATAGCTTTCGGTCTTGGCCTTTCATCTGGCACAAGTGATTTGTGCTTTGTAAATTGAGTTTTTTTTTTTTTTTTTTGGGGAAGTTTTTCAATGGCCAGTTTTTTTTGTTTTTTTTCCCCTCTACCCCCACCCGGGCCATTAAGTAATAGTCTAGTTTTGGACATCCTCTTGATTATAGTTCCAATTCAAACCTCAGAATGAAGACAGATAAATTGGTCATTTTTAAATAGTCCTGTTTTTCCTGCAGAAGTCCTTCAGTACAGGAGGACATAATGGCTGATGTCGGACTTTTTTTTTAGCTTTCCCCCCATGGCACATTTTACATAATGTATTTGTGCTGCACATAGTAGGATTCAACAATGGAGTCTGTAATCTTTTAGACCTTCATTTCTTTTCAGTGTTCATCAAGGCACAGATGCGTGATTCAGCAGTGTACTTTTTGTTGGCAGCCAGAGATGTAAGATATAAGAATCTGTTCACTGTATTTTTTTACTGGAGTTTTAGCCACATCAATTGCACTTACAATCTTAGTGACCGTCTGTAGCAAGCAATTCTGCAGTGCGTAACTTTGAGGACATGGTGCTACTGGACTATAGGATCCTGGATGTAGTAGTCCCGCTTCAAGATGCTCAGTGCTGGCCATGTCCAGGTAGGTACATAAGAAATCCTCTACCTTGGTGACTACTGTTGTATTGCTATTCTGACATTACACTTCTGGTCAATGAAAACAATGCAGCACTTATTTCTTATGATCAACTTCTGCTATCACAGCAGCACATTTGTAAGGTCGCCGTTTACTGTAATGAACTACATTTTAACTTGATTTCCAGTACTGGCTGTTGGGTTGGGGATGGCAGTAGTGTTTAAGTAGTTATGACATTTGTTGCCTTCTGAGGAGAAGGTTTTCGTGCATTGGAAGGTCTTCTAATTTAGAAGGCATAACTAGTTAATTGAGATATTGTAATTTTTATTTTTTATAAGTGAATGTGGTACAATCTGATGGCTTCAGTGTTTCTTCACTTTTTTAGCCAGGGCATTTGCTCATTACGCAACAGTGACAAAGATTAGCATTTGCCTGATCTAATCTTTAAAACTGCTCAAGCATAGATTGTCAACTGCCTGTTGGTACACCTTCATTTAGTGCTTGTATTAGATTGAAGAAAAAACTGGGAAGAATGGTGCCTTTTCGTAATCCTACTTTGTCTTTTAAATGTTCAGTCCGCCTACAAATAACTTCAGGGTTTTGATGCTTGCTTTTTGTATTTTGGGGACTCCGTTGGTATGATCTTGGCACTTGAGTTGCTATGTCACTATACTGGTTTATGCTGGTTAACTGGTATCCTATACTCTGTTGGATTTCATTTATTGTGAAGAATGCAACTGGGGAATGGGAGCACTGTTGCAGCAGGAGTAAGACTCCACAGTGAAACCAGGACGTAGAACAGTGTCAAAGATCTGCTGCTAGAATCCTCATAGGAACTGGCCAGTGGGTTACACTGCCCAAGGCTTTTGCCTACAACTGAAATTACTCTTCTGGGTGGACTGACCGTTTATTATTGGAAAATATACTGTGAAATTTTAATATGAAACTAACTTATACCATTAAAAATGTACTGAGGCAGTATGGAGATAACCATTGCTGATTTGACCTTCTGAAGACCACCTGTAGCTATCATGCTATTCTCATGGCTCCACTATTTGAGCCATGGACCTAGAGCAATTTTGCAAATAACAAGCTTGGATTTCATGCCTACATTCTTGTTTCAGGTCAGCTTTTCAGAACATCCTCACGCTAGGCAACACGCCTTTTTAAAGGGATGACTGCAATAGCAACACTTCTCCGTGCATAGTTTTATTTAACGTCTAACTTTTGAGCACAATAACTTACCTGGGTTAAAGCAGTAATACTTTTGGAGGCAAAACAAATCTGACATTATGCTAGCTTTACTCTTAAAGATTTACAGCAGGAGCACTGCAAATATTGAAGACCTGCAAGTCTAACAACCCAGCACCATGGCCGTGCCTCTGCCTGGGACTGGTAATGGTCGGGTGGAGACACAACTGTAGTACTGGGGTATGAGACTTGCCCCACTTCCTCCCAGTGGGACCTGTACTAACTGCAGCATGTAAACATTT